AGATTTTAGTATGTTTTTTCCTTTATTATACAGCTAATATCCTCTTATAAATTAGTGTATACCATGCATGTCTTTCTGTTTCTCGGTTAACTCACTCAGGATCATCTTTTCTAGTTCCATCCATTTGCCTGCAAATTTCATGATTTCCTTGTTTTTAATTGGTGAGTAGTATTCCATTCTGTAAATGTGCTACGATTTCTGTATCCTCCATTGAGGGACATCTAGGTTGTTTACAGTTTCTGGCTATTAAAAATAAAGCTGCTATGAACATAGTTGAGCAAATGTCCTTGTTGTATACTTGAGCATATTTTAGCTATATGCCTAGGAGTGGAATAGCTGGATCTTGAGGTAGTGCTATTTCCAGTTTTCTGAGAAAGTGCCAGATTGATTTCCAAAGTGGTTATACAAGTTTACATTCCCACCAGCAATGGAGGAAGGTTCTCCCTTCTCCACATCCTCTCCAGCATATGTTGTCACTTGAGCTTTTGATCTTAGCCATTCTGATGGGTGTAAAGTGAAATCTCAGAATTGTTTTGATTTGCATTTCCCTGATGACTAACGATATTGAACATTTCTTTAAGTGTTTCTCTGCCATTCAATATTAGTCTGTTGAGAATTCTCTGCTTAGCTCTGTACCCCACTTTTATATTAGATTATTTGTTTTATTGGTGTATAATTTCTTGAGATCTTTATATATTCTGGATATTAGCCCTTTATCAGATGTAGGGTTGGTGAAGATCTTTTCCAAGTCTGTAGGCTGTCATTTTGTTCTGATGACAGTGTCCTTTACAGAAGGTTTTCAGAAAACCTTTCTTTTATGGATAACTTAATCATTAATTCCATTAAGTGCATAAAGTCTAAGTTTATAATTATTTTACAGTTATTTTATGAAATAATTTTCTTCTGTGTTTCTAGGATTTACCCTTTAATTGTTTCTTTTAAGATAAGGGGGATACAAAGTGAATAAACTGTAATTAATAAAAAAAGGAAAAAAAGATACTTCGAGGTAACATGAATATTCTCATATACTTGACAGATTTAACAACTGTTTACTATCTTTATGATTTTTTCTAAAACATCCTAGAGTACTCTATAAATACTAGTTTCTTATCTCACATTATTTCATAGTATGTCTTATATGTCTTATAAGAACAAGTCTATCATCATGTACTATCCTACCAGTGAATTTTTATATAAATCCAAGATTATCTCTTTACAATCTCTTTCACTGTCTGATAGAGATGTTTGATTTTCTAATGACAATCTGAATTCACAGATCATATTCAGTTATCATGTCTCTCTTTAATCTCGAACAGCTTTCCTACCCACTCTGTTTAACATCTAACAGTGATATTTTGAAAGGTTCACATTAGTTCTATTCAAGACTGTTCCACAATGTATATTTTTCTGATTACACCTTCATGTTTACTTACACCTGAATTATATGTTTTGACAAAGACACATTTAGTGGATGCGTGCCTCCAATTCCATCCCATTTGGAAGCATAGTTCCACTTGCATGATTATTGGTGTCATGAAGTTTAATTAACTAAGTTGATGTGTATCATATCTCTTCATTGATACTATGTTTCCCTGTTTTGTATTAGATCATCGGTGGTACTTTGAAGTTGGGTGAGTTTTCTTTTCTCTAACATTTCACACAGTACTGTTATGTGCTGATGCTGCTTGTGTAAGCCAGTCATTACACTGCTGTTTTCTGAGTGGGGTTATATACTAATTTTGTCATTTATTATTCTTTTTCTATAAAGAAGTGATTTACCTGTCCTTTTGCAAGTTATATAAATCATTATAAACTCAAGAACTTTTGCTCAATGTTTTACAATTCACTGCCATCATTATTATGTTTTATGATAAAACTGAAATAAATTACCCAGTGTGGCTGAATGGAGTGTTATTCTAGCATTCAGGCAGTGGAAACAAGAGGAGGGTGGGCTTAGCCCCATTCTTGGTTACATACTAAGACTTTGTCATACTTCCTGCCCCACTGGAACTGAATTTGGCCAGTGTAGTGCCTTACATCTTGCACCTTGTTTCTGAGTGTCCATCACAGTTTAAGTGATTCCTTACTTTTTCATATAAATGTACTTTATACTTTTCCTGTACCAGATACAGAATCAGCTATTTCTCCAACAAACTGGTTTGTTTTGGTGAGGAATGGTACTTAGAAATCAATATCTTAAAAGTGGATGCACTTATTCTTTCATGCGTCTCAAACTCAGAGCTATTAGAATGTCATTGCTCTCTGTGGACAAATGGGCTGAGATATTTTATAATTTCAGGAGATAATACTAGATATTTAAATACTGATCTATGTTCACAGATGACTTCAGAATTCCCTTTTCTTTTCCAGGTTCCATATCTATGCATCCTTTCTCCAAAAGTGAGAATTCTGATTTAAAAAAAAAAAAAAAAAGAGTTAACTTATTTGTTTGCTCTACCCATAAAATGCACATATCATACATACATGTTTGTGTCCTATAATACAGTTTTGCAATTTACTTGTCTACTAACATTATCTATAAGAAACACTATATTTGTGTTTGGGGCAGACCTACTTGGTGGTATTTTTTTTAGATAAAGGTATCTGATCTTGCTCCATGCCTAACTGAGAGAGTACTTTGCAGTAGATCCTATCTTGAAAAATAGCACTCCAGGTGATTACATAGAATGCTCCTATTTGAAACACAATACTGTTGTAGTTAGGAACATGGAGTTTAGGTTAGGAAAGTCAGTGTCCTTGTTCTGTTACTTAATTCTTCATTTGTGCAATGGTAATGGTATATACATCATACTACGGTAATATACCACACACTTCATCACATGGTACTTAGAAAACTCCCTGGTGTATATTAATGGGAAATGAAACGAATTTTTTCTTTTCTTTTAATATAAAATATTAACTGGATTATCAGGCCTTTTCTATCTGACAAAAATAAATTAAGAAATACTTTGTGTGGTCTTTTTGTTTGTTTTAATTTTTTTTAATTTTATTTTATTAATTACACTTTATTCACTCTGTATCCCCCCATAAGCCCCTCCCTCCTCCCCTCTCAGTCTCACCCTCCCTCCTCCTTTTTTATTCTTAAATGCAGAGATTTTTGAAAACAAAAGCAAAAATTAAAGCTACATTATAAAGGTAGTGGCATGTTACTGAGATGTACAGTTTAAATTTTTTTTTATTCTAAAAATTTGTATCTTTCCTTATTCCCTCCACCTAATGTTTGTGAGGATTGAAGAAAAGAATCTTGAGGTATTTTATTTCTTGCCTTTGGGCTAATCCCTTCTTCAGAGTGCAGTTTGTTTTCAAGAGAGCTGCTGCTGCTTTCCCCTCCCACTCCTTCAGTTCGACAGTCTCAGAGCTGATGGGGAGACAGAGAGCACGCAGCTGGTAAGTCATTCTCATAAAATAGTTGCTAATTTATTATTTGGGTTGAAATATTCTTTTTCCCAGCACATAATCATTTTATGTTCACGGTTGGTAACAGCCTGTGTTGATCTTGCCTCTCCTCTAGTAGTCAAGTACTTTAATGTTTAAACTCTGTTCTCCTTAAATTCCATTTGTTTGTTTAAGGAAATCACAACGAATCATAAACTAATTGGTGAGGTTAAGTTGACTCTAGCAACTCTAGCATATTCTCATGGAAATTATTAACATGTTGGGGATAACATGTGTGTGTTGTAGATATGGTGATTCTCTTAAAATATATGTAGAAACAATTTCCAAGACTGACAAAACCATAAATGAAGGAGAATTCAAAACTGAGAAATTCTCAATTCACATAATTTTGTTTATTACACATGTTTTTTGCTTATGTAGCTCATGAAATTTTATAACCTTCTTAGAGTTTGTCCTCCCAGAGAAATTGACAGTCTTTCGCCAGATCCTCTGTTTTCTAGGATGTCATTCTAGGATGTTTTATTGAGATCTCCATAAAACAATTGTTTCTTGGCAAGTACGGTATTGGAAAGTACTCACTCACCATGGAGGGAGCATGGACCTGAAGCCGAATGACAGTGAAGGTGATGTGTCCAAGGACGGCTCACAGAAAAAGTTATTCCTTTCACCAGACATGTAGGAAGGCAAGAAAACTAGATGCGGATAAATAGAGAGAACAAGAAAATAATAATTTAAAAATTGAACAATGAAATCAATTCTGCATTGGGTTTTATAACTGCTACTTCTACACAAAAACAATCAAGAAAATGCAACTAAGACTTATATATAGCTGAAGTTACATTTGATTTTGAGAAGCCCAAGATACAATGAATCTTTTTTCACATTGAGCTGAAATCTTAAGAGAAATGTCCTTATAAATGTTACCCAAAGTTAATTCTAGAAATGTTAAAACAAAATACCTATTTATAACCTAAAATAGGATTGTTATATTAGAAAAATTTAGAAAGAAATTGGACTATATTCTATTCGTTTTTAAATGTTTTTGTTCCCAAACTACCTTGAACCAGAGTGAGTCAATCTGCTTTTTACTGTGGAATGCCATTTGTATTGTAATTTTTTCTGTTGATGGCTTCTTACTGAATTCTTCACTTTCTTTCCTTATTGCATATCCAGGGGAGAATGTATATTGAGCAACAAAATGTAGTAGTGGTCCTCAGCAGAAACTAGACCTTGTTAGTGTTCTCTGATGTCTAATAGCACTATTGTGGGGGGGGGAAGTGTATTAATGCGAGAATGTTGCTAGGAGACGGGAGAGCCAAAAGCCCATGATATTGTGGGGGTTCCACTGGAATTAAGGTAATTTAAGTATGGTCTGTGCCCAAAGTTGAATCATTATACTGTGTCCTTTGATGAGCATATGAATTTTAGTGTACAGTATTTAGTATGATCTAATGTTTGTGAGGATTTATAAAAAGAATCTTGAGGCATTTTATTTCTTGCCTTTGGGCTAATCCCTTCTTCACAGCGCAGTTTATTTTCAAGAGGCTGTTGCGCTGCTGCTTTCCCCTCCCACTCCTTCAGTGTGACAGCCTCGGAAGCTGATGGAGAGACAGAGAGCACGCAACTGGTAAGTAGCTCTCATAAAATAGTTGCTAAGGCTATGCTTTTTTAAAGCAAGTGACACATTTTGACAGAACAGAATAGCATAGAACTGTGTAGGAATTTGCCTAGTCCGTAGCATCAAGAAAATAGATTATATTCTAAAGATTTTTGTGGTCACTTTTCCTACTTTAAGGCTTGCTTCCTAAATGGTGAAAGACGCGGTAGAAGGAAATACAGAACACATAAATTGAGAATCTGAAAAGATATCCTCAAAATAAAATTTATTGAAGATATTAAAATGATGTATCAGCTTTACGATATCTGAATTAGACATAATGAAATAATAGTTATAGGTATTCTCAGATCTGGTTTGTTTTCTTGGTGTGTGGCGAACACGGGGAAAATATTTTACAGTGGAGAATAGAATACTGTATTCCACTTGTTTTTAATTAAGAAGATGGTGCCGTGACATGTCTGTGTAGGAAAGGAAATGAAGAAGGTCGGCTGTAATAATATTAAGACTGATTGCTTTGTAGGAGAGATGAACATGTATTGAATGAGGAAGATTAAAATTTGGTGAAAATCATGAGAAAAGAAATAACAAATATTGTGACTGTACCTTCATTTTAAAAATTCATTTGCTTTTTGCATGCCATGTTGTACAGTAAAAATAGAATGTTTTTGGTGCTTTTTCTTTTCTTTTTTTTTTTTTTTTGAAAAGGAATGTGAGACTGTAGCAGAGATTCCTATGGATGCAGTGTTTCTGTTTGCGTCTCAATATCCCTGATATTGTATGTGCTCTTTTATGCTGGTTACGGCAAGATAACAGAAAAAAAAGGTGAAGTCATATATTTTAAATTTTCTTTAGAATTTAGATTGGTTTTGACACCTGACTTAAAAGGAATAAAATAAATTAAAAAAAAAAAAAAGGATAGACAGATTGGTTTTGGGGTTAGATTATGAAACCGGGCTCAGAGTACAATATGAGAACGGAAAGCTTATTAGAAAGTCTTCAAAGATAAGCCATCCCTTAAGTTGAACATGTCTGCTGGGGGCATGTTTTGCAGGGAAAGGGAGCAGATGTTGAAGGTAGAGGGAGGGGGCATGAGCAAAGCACTGCGGCAAAGAGTGACTGACGCATCCGGGCACATGTGACTATTCTCTGGTGTAGTGAAGAAAAATTTCCAGGACTCCATCTTGTGGAAGAAATTCCATACATCCTATCATGCAAGTGATGCTGGAATCATGCTGTGCGGGATAATGAGTTGATTTTGTGTAATCGTCCATTGCTATTTAATCTTTGCGTTTGATGGTCTTTGTTCCTAGACTTTCTTCTCTACACTCTCAGAGCTTTCATATGCTTATTAAAATATCTCATTAAAATGTTGGTTCTTCTTTTATTACAAAAATACAGTATCGTGGAGAATTTGGAAAAAAGAAAAGGTGACCATGAAGATTATGTACAATGCCATAAACTTAGCATAATTGCTGTCAGTAACTTTTCTTTACATATATTCACTTAAATGCATAGAAATATATATTTAATACAAAATAAAGATCAGATGAATCTTATTATTCTGCTTTATTCATTAAGTATATATTGTAAGCAATTTCTCATATTTTGAAATATCGTATAGAAATGTGTTTAGACAATGAATAATTTTATCACTTTGGGAGTATTACTAAGCTCCAAATATTAAATGTGCTTTTTTGCCATTGTAAATGGTTTAAGAAATGTATTTCCATATAAATAAAAATTGTGTTTCCTTCTGTTATTTTCCTCCTAGAAAAAAAATTCAGCTGTGGAATCTGTGGACCAAATGGTATGAATCCGTCTCAAGTTTCTTTCCTTAGTAAGTCATCTTGCTTAATTTCTTTATCATATGTGATTAAAAGACATTACTTTCAAGTCATTACTTGTCTGTTCAGCTTTGTCACTTATGATGGTAATTTTGAAGGTATTTTACTACTTTATATTTTAAAATACCTACATCTGTCAGTTGGTTTTTGTGTTTTCTTTTTTTAAGGTGTTTCTCCACATATAAATTCACCTGTATTTCTTTAGAAATTTAATTAATTTATTTTGACAATTAACTCTGCAATCTGTATAGACTTCACTTTAAATATTATAAAATAGAATCTAATTGTGTGTGTTTTTTTTTTCCAAATAGGTCACCAATAGTTTCAGCATTACGTATTGAATAATGCAACCTTCTACTGATGTGAAATATCCACAGCTGTTCTCCCACTAGGTAGGGTGTAGCTTTCCACAGTTTGGCCATTTTCTTTCTATTCAAGATGGTTACATTCCACAGTAATAATTTTACCTTCTTGACACATTCAACAGCCTGCTAAAACATTGTGTTTGTGCTTTTTGCCTTTTAAGAATCCTAGCTGTATACAGTCTAGTGATTTTCAAACAGGATATATATGTATATATATATATATATATATATATATATATATATATATATATATATACATTTAATATATATATTTAAGTTAAATAGTTAAAGATCTTACTTCATTTATTCTTTTTTTTTTTTACAAATTAGAAGTTGAGGAATCAAATGACATAGAACACTGTTCCATGTGTTACTCTTTTTTGATCATCCTGACAGTTCAGTTGTGTGTTTAAAAGGAAATACTATAAGGGGTAATATACTTTTTCTGTTCCTTAGGAATATAGAGAATTAAAGTTGAGTGGATTTGGTTACTGGAATTTTCTAGAGGAACATAACAGGGAAATGTAAGAAATGTATGAAATTCAGAAATGTTTTCAATTATGTCTCTGGCAGTAAAACGATCTTGGAATCTCAATACATGCTACCACTGTCATTATCTTTTCAAGACAGAAAAAACATTGCGTGGTCCATCTCTTTTTACTACAAGTGGAAGGGTTAAGACACAAAACATGGGAGGCTTTTAGTAGGAGATAAGTTAAATAGTAACAGAAGTATTTGACAGTTAAAAATCATTGCTATTCTCTGTTGTACCCCTTACACACAGCTTTTTCCACCTCCTATTGACTTCTAACAACAGCCACTGGCCCTTTCTGATTTTGGAAGGAAAAGGAGGGTGAGTAGCAGGCTGCTTTCTTTGCCTGCTGTTATTGCAAGGGATACATTTGGCTCACAGACATAGCTCTAGTCATTTCCTGACTTGCCACATTAGGCTGTGATTTGTTTATGACTGGAGGATGGTTTCCCTGGTAACAGGAACTCACCAGGGCATGCACATTGGCTCATCTGCAGTGACAGAATGCAGCTGTTAGGCCTTGGGAGGGATCTTGGGGGCCAGCAGTGGCTGGAAGAGGTATTCCACAGACATGATGTCAATTTTTTCTCCCTGTACTGAGACTGAGCATTACAATTTTTTCAATCCCCAGAATATGTTGAGCTTTCTCTCTTATTTTCCCTTCCAGCACTGCCACAGTCGATAGTCTTACAAGTGACCATGATGTTTTCCCAATTAGTACAGTCCCAAATATCCTCAGGGCTCAAAGGGATTCTTATAGTTTGGTTACAGGAAACAGATGGCCTGGTTTCAAACCTCCATCTCTTTGTTGTCAGCTGTATGACCATACGACAATTTTTCAGTCCTCCTGTGCCTCAGCTTCCTCAGCTGTAAAATTGGAATTAAAATAATAGCACATTTAGAAAAATAGTACATGTGAACCATTAAAAGGTATTCTTTATTGTTACTTGTAGGTGTCAAAGGAAAATTGCCTGGAACCAGACTTGTGCCTGCACAATACAACGAACTCATCCAAATTAGAGACACAAGCCTTTACCTCCACAGAATGCAGACCCTCTTCCCATGTAGCCCACAGATGACCTACAGCATAATGGAGCACTCCCCTGAGATTCATTAATATACACCACAGCAAAAAAAATTTGCCCCTTATCACATGGACACCTTCCATGTTGCTGAGCTCTTTTAGATGCACACAGGTTCTCTTCAACACAGAGACCAAGCTAAAGGACATTTATCTCTACCACATGGTGAGTCTTACCTCACCATGAAGACAGTGCCTGTAAAACAAAGAAAATCTTAACATTATAGCTCATTTTCATATCATACAGACACTATCCAGAACATACAAAGTATGCAGACTTAATTTATATAATATAGATTCTTTCAAAAGCATACAGATTCTTCACAGAACACTTAAGTACTCCTCACAGCAATCCTCATGCCACAGCATAATAGTCCCATTAAGATACATAATACTCCCCATGTGTGCTCTACCAACTAAACTGCTGGTGAATGAAGTTCATGTGAAACAGACTTATGTTACACTAACCTTCACAAGAAAACGTGACCTTGCCCACAACACTCATGTAACTCTTGTTACATTATGAAAAGCTTCAGCATAGAACATAGACTGTCCACAGCACAGTGTATCACTCCATAGAATGCAGACTTCCTGCTTAAACACAAATACACAACACAGCTTAAATCCCTTGCCACCACATAACTTCCCCAAATGACAAACTCCCCCTTTTACAAACAGATAAATCCCTCATAACCAAGATCATTTCAATAGAACAGAGGCTTATTTCAGACTACACAGACTCCTTTTACATCTTACTCCACAAAACATAGATTAAGTTTATGGTACAAAGACAATTCCAGTAATCCTGAGCCTTGTTCAACTCCACCAAATAGCAATAGAGATGTATAACCTGAAGCACATAGATCATGCCTTCTTAAACATGATTTTAATTTAATGCATATATTTATTTTATACATTTATATAGATTATACACATACTTATTTTATACATACACACCAGTTCATCTCATGATAAACATACAATGCAAACCTAAAGTGGTAGCACGTGCCTAATAGGTACTCATTTGTGCCACATCATCCAAATCTCCTTTCAGATTTATAGAATTGCTCTCTAAGGTAGTCTAGCACTCTCCCTGGCCCCCATCACAAAGGTGATCCACAGTATCAACACTCATCCTATAGTACAAATGTAAACTATAACATGTAAACACATCTCAGAACACAGCACTTCACTGCCATAATGCTCAGACTTCTGTAATAGTAACACATTTTTATACATCATCATCTTTAAAAAAAAAATAAACATTTCTTGCAGTAGTTCTACAGTCTAGACATTGCTCCCAAATACATGAACTCATTTTTAAACATATTTATTATTATCATTTATTACAATGTATTGACTTTGTATCCCAGCTGTGGCCCCCTCCCTCATCTCCTCCCAATCCCACCCTCTCTCCCTTGTCTCTTCCCATGCCCCTCCCCTAGTCCACTGATAGAGGAGGTCATCCTCCCCTTCCATTTGACCCTAGCCTATCAGGTCTCATCAGGACTAAACCCATTTTTTTATTTTTTATTTTTTTTCACAATTTATTCATTATATATTCTTATTGAAGCCCCTCCTTCAACTCTGCTCCAATCCCACCCTCCCTCTCATTTAACCCCTATCCCCTTCTCCTAGTCCATTGAAAGGGGGAGTTTTCCACCATTGCCATCTGCCAATAACCCATTTTTAACAGACTCTCAGAATTACTACAAAACATGCAGTCAGCTTCACTGTTATCTACAAAACAAGATATGCCTAGCCATGTATAGAACTCTATCATAATACATAGACTCTACAATTAATATGCATACTTGTCTCATAGCTCATATAAATACTCTCAAACAGTGATATGCACCCTACATGTACAGATAAGCTACTCAGGTCACAGACTTACCTTATAATATACTCAGTAACAACATATGTATCTTAAAATGTATAGATAAACCTATGGATGCATAGATTTGTTCTACACTATACAGAGTTACATTATAACACTTATTTTATAATGCAAATAACCACCTCATATCATGTAAACATAAAATGCATGTATTAACTCCACTTTGCAACAATTTCCATCACAGAGGACAGACATGAATTACCATGTCATTGAGCTACAGTTCTGGCCCACAGCATAGATACAGCCTGGTATCAATTAAGAGCAAGGCCTCTGGACGCAGGCTTCCTGGGCTTGCCTCCAGACCCCATCCCTTACTAATTGTATCGCCACAGGTAAGTATTTTTCTTTATTCTTTAGTTTACTCATCTGCAAAACAAAGATGGCAATGGTAGCTACTTTGAAGGATTAACATAAATAAATACCAGTTGAGCTATATTCAGTATAGTACAGCGCCTGCTGCCTAAGAACTGTAAGATTTGCATTACCATCACCTTCTACCCCACCATTGTTACTGAAGCTTATTTTAAACATCTACAATCATTTAACAACATAGATTTGTCCTTTCCTACAGTACTGAGATTAGCCTCAGAATGTACAGAAATACTCTACTGCAGATGGAAAGCACTCCATAATACCTGATGTCCTATAGATCACAGAGAGCACACTAAACTAGATACCACTCACAATGTGAAAATTTACAGTAGAACTAAGAAATGTAACAAACAATGTATATGTTTACTTTATATGTATACATTCACCTCACAGCACACAGACTATATGGACAATACCCAGTTTTACCCCATAAAGCAATGATTTGTAATGTTGCATATATATACATACCATGAACTTACAGTTATATACTGTATGACAAAGACCACATTATACACAGTTATTAATTACAAAGCATGCGGATTTCCTTGATATTCACAATGATGTTTTTCTAAATTCATATTCCTAAATTTAGCACATATTTTAATGCAGAGCCCCTTCCTATAACACATTTACTTACTCTTATTTTATTCTTGATTCATAAACAACTATATGCTTCATATCTAATTATTTGCACATAAATATTATTTACCTTAAAAAATTCTCATATATATGATCACATACCCAATACCACACAGATTCTTTTTTTGTTACCACACATTCTTAAAAAAAAAAAAACAAAACCTGAAAGTTTGTGTGTGTGTGTGTGTGTGTGTGTGTGTGTGTGTGTGCACCTGGTAACCACAGAGGCCAGAAAAGGACTTAAGATTTTCTGGATCCTGAGTTTCAGACATTTGTGAGCTTCCTTTTAGGTGCTTGGAATTGAACATGGATCCTTTGCAATAGCAGCAAGTGCTTGTAATCACCAAGCTTTTTCTGTAGCCTTAAGGAGAGCTACTTAAGACCCACTTAAGTTCTACCATACAAAGCTATCCTCCTAAGCACAGATGTTCTTAAATGTCCTACATCTGTATCACATGACAACATACATACAAAGCCATCATACAACTTTCAAGCTTGCATTT